CCTCGGGACGCCCAGCCTTCGCCGCTACAGCGATGCTGCGGCCGAGCGCGAAGACGACCCCAACTTCTTCAAGATGGTGGAGGGCTTCTTCGACCGCGGCGCCAACATCGTGGAGGACAAGCTGGTGGAGGACCTGCGCACCCGCGAGAGCGAGGAGCAGAAGCGCAATCGCGTGCGCGGCATCCTGCGCATCATCAAGCCCTGCAACCACGTGCTGAGCGTCTCCTTCCCGATCCGGCGCGACGACGGCTCCTGGGAGGTCGTGGAGGGCTACCGCGCCCAGCACAGCCAGCACCGCACGCCCTGCAAGGGAGGTGAGCGCGTCCCCGCCGGTCCCCTCCCCCGGCCCCGGGTGTGGCAGGCTCGCCGGACAGCGGCTTTCCGCCCTAAAACTTCCACGTCGGCGGCCCGCCCTCGTCACCCGGGCCCCTGCTGCACCGATGCTGTCTGCAGAGCTGACAGTGTACAGCGTCTGTGTCCGGGCATCAGGGTCGCGGAGTAGGGTGGGAACCCCGCCTAAATGCACTTGTGAGAAAGGCATCGGTGACTGGCCCCTCCGAGGCTGCCCGGCGAGCTTTCGTGGGCGCCTGTGGTAGGATTCTCCCCAGTGCAGACTCTGAAGTTGTTTTCCGACGTGTTCGTTTTGCCACAGTAGTGACAGATGATACAGAAAACAGGAAATCACCTGCATTCTAGGTTTGAAGTCTAGACAGTTGCGCTAATCAAGGGAATGAGCTTTACTGAGCTCATGTTACTCTTGTGAATTGGGTTATTTTTACATTCTGACCATGTGCTTTGCGCCCCCTCTCAAATTCAGGCAGGGTAAAATCTGCCAGTAACACCAGGCGTCCTGGATGTACACACGCCACGGCCTGCCAGCCTATAGAATGAAACAGCCCTGGGGGTGTGTACGCGTCCCGCCTAGCGCCAGATCCGAGCCTGGGAAAAGCTAAATACGAAAAGAATCAAGTCAGGTACAGTTTGGTAGTCACAGAGATATCCTGTAGTTTCGGGATCTCTGCAGATTTGGTTTCGGTGGTCAGATTTGCTTTCTTCAGGCAAATAAAAGCTTTATTCACACCCCTCCCCAATATATTGCAAAGTACTCTGCGTCTTTAAAGGTGTTAAAAGTAACCTAAAATAAGAAGGACAAAATCTCTTTTCCTTATTGTTATAAAGAAATTAAGGAAAATAAAAGATCCCGGGGAGAAGAGTTTCGCCGGAGGTGGGCTGTCGAATAAACATCGAGGGGGTTGGGCTAATCCCTTTGTCTACCTCAACTCAGTGGCTAGCTTTCTGTTGCCAGCAGACTTAAAAGGGCAAGTTCTGGAAATCCTTTCTTTTCCAGAAAATTTCGGTTGTGATGGTATCCCCAACGGGCGAACAAAGGTTGTTGCCAGTGGTTTAATGATTCATTAAATTTGCATCGACCCCACCCATACCTAGGGTTTACCTTTGGAGTTTAATTGCCCTTTGGCTCTGTAGTTTCCTATACTAGAGGCTGTTGGAGTCACTTTGACCTCTAATTTCCCTTCCAGCTCCAAAATTATATAAAATGGACATGCTGTCATTCTGCTCTGCCTGCCTTCTTCCTATCACTCTCGTCCCCCCGACCAGGAACACGGAGCTCAGGCTCCCATGTAAAGCAAACAAGGATGTTGAAGGAAGGGGCAACGTGTGGCACGTACTAGGCTAAATTGCCGTGTTGCTGTAAAATAGGCATTGAGTGTGTTTTACTACTGTTCACAGCATTTTCCAGTCCCTTAAAAAATACACAAACAAACCAGTATATTTGTTTTTCTTCAGGATCTGATTTGGTTTCTTTGAAGCTCTTTGTTTCTTCTTCCAGGCCCAGTTTCTCTTCTCTCTTTGTAAGTCACAGTTCTGCACTCATTGATGCAACTCAAGTTTGTCAGTCCTCTTCCTCTAGTTGCTACAGCAGTTTTTATGCCACAATAGTGAGCTTAGCAACAAATTGCGTCAATGTTCCAGAGCTCTGTTATTGTAGCATTTGCATGTACCAGAGTGTAGTCTCTTCTGTTTATCAGCACACAAGCATACAGAAACTGATTTCCTGAACATTGCAAGATGATGTAGCATGGAAGGAAATTGGACTGTGTAAAGTGATAAATTTAGTGTCTTAAACAATTTAAAAGACATTACGGATTGATGAATATGTAACTATGAATGCTTTTAAATACTGTACATGATTGGCAAAATTTACTCTCAAAACATTCAGGTTACACATTTATCACCCTTACTTGATTATAGAAAATAAAATGTGCATTCTATACTGAACTTATTTTCAGTGAGGTTTTCTGCACTGAAACAATTAAAGTCTTTTTTCATGTGTAAGTAAGTTGTTAAAAACCAAGTGTTACAGGCAGCACTTGTTTTTCCAGCTACTCCAGAGGCTTAGGTCGGAGGGTCTGTTGAGGCCAAGAGCTTGAGGCCAGTGTGGGAAACATAGGAGGCCCTATCTTTTGTTTTGTTTTGTTTTGTTGTCTTTTATGTACCAGGGATTGAAACCAGGACCTTCACCTATGAACTATGTTTTGTTTTGTTTTGTTTTGTAGAGACAAGGTCTTTTTAAATCACCCCTGCTAGGCTTGGACTTGAGATCCTCCTGCATCAGCCTCACAGAGTGCTGGGGCCCTATCTTCTATCTCTTAAGTTAAAAATTTCAAAAGAGAAACAAAAGGAAGTTATTAATGTTGGCTCCACTCTGCTTTTAGAATATATTAGGTAGTTAGGATCAAAATGGTCCTAAGTCTTTCCCCCTTAAACATTTTAGCCACACTCCTCCCACAACTAAACTGTCTTCTTTCCAAGTGTTCTTTGCAAAAGAAGAAAGCTCTTCTGCTCCTCACCTTTTTCTCTCCTTAGCTTTTCTATATCTAATCTTTCTTCCACAGTGACCTTATGCCTGGGTTTCCTAAAATAAAATTCTCAAAGTTGAAGCCAAGCAGCAATCTAGTTGCCTCTATAAGAGAAAGAGGTGTTTAAAGACCTGGGAGTGACTGGCACTTTATTGCAAATGAGTATTCAATAACAGTAATTTCCCACATTGTCTAAATACCGTATTTAATTGAGACTGCTTGATTTGCCTGTTAAGGGTTTGCAGAAGAATGGGCTATAGATTGAAGGCAGTTTAAGTGACTTAAAAATAATTTCAGAAAATCTATTGTGCTGTGCATCCTTTTAATCTCAGCACTCAGGAGGCTGAGGAAGGGAGATTCTGAGGTGTTTTTGTTTTGTTTTTTGAGATTCCAAGTTTAAGACCATCTTGAATGACATAGTGGATGCAAGGCCAGCCTGAATTATATTGAGACCTGGTCTGAAAAATAAATATTTGTTCAGCAAGGATAAATAAATGTACCACTGATTTGAGAAGACTAGTTCAGTCTTCCCACACACAATGCTGATGCACACCTTTCCACCAGGATCAGGTCTTCTTTCTCTAGCATACTTTTTTTGGACACAGGGTCTCACTATGTAGTTCAAGTTGGGCTTGAACATACAGTAATCCTTTTGCCTCAGCTTTCTGAGTGCTGGTAATACAGGCATACACCATGATGTCCAGTATCTCTAGTATACTAGTAAGGCAAAACAAAACAAAAGATAGGGCCTCCTATGTTTCCCACACTGGCCTCAAGCTCCCTCACTGGTGTGCTTGAGGAAATCTGCTTTGGAGACTGTATCTGAACTTTCTCAGAGTGAATTCTCTGTTCCACTGGCCACAGTTCTGCCTGAGGCCCTTCTACCTTTTCAGAAGGAAGTTTATCACTTAGAGGTCAGCTGGGGGGAAGGTATGGACACCTAATGGTGTGATCAGTTTGCTTTCTCTTCAAGCCTGCCCCCACTTTGTTGTGACTTTAAAACTTTAGCCAAAATTCTCCCATCCCTAGTTCTTTCTCCTGTCTTAGAATTTTGTAAGGCTGTCACTCATTTAAGTATAATTGATGGGCTGTAGATTGAATCGAGATAAGCTGCCATAGTCTTTAATTTTAAGGGCTGTGTGGTCACCTGCACCTGGTATGTGGGAGCCAAGGTGCGGAATCCTCCCTAAGAAGTGGGTGGTCTCCCCTGAGCAGGAGGAGGGCCCTAGTGGGGCTGGTCCTACAAATGAGTCATCCTGCCTTCCCAGGGGAGGCAGGCAGGATGTTTCTGACTCTTATTTTTCCATGCTGAATTGACAACCATCAGAACTTGGGTATCTGAACAAACTCACAGTTTTTGATATTCTGAAAGTATAACTCTGTCTGCATCTTGCTACCACAAGATACACACAGAATTTATGTGTCTGAAAGTTAATACAGGTAATTCATATATTGTGTAGCCCTTAGCTCAGAGCTGGTTGTTTTTAGTACCTTATGGTTAAATACTGAACTGTGTGCTACTTGCAAAGCCTATAACTGCTTGGAAGCTCCATTCCTCTTTCTCTTCCTTACTAGTATACTAGAGATGCTAGACATTATGGTGTATGCCTGTATTACCAGCACTCAGAAGGCTGAGGCAAAAGGATTACTGTATGTTCAAGCCCAACTTGAACTACATAATGAGACCCTGTGTCCAAAAAAAGTATGCTAGAGAATGAAATCCTGATCCTGGTGGAAAGGTGTGCATCAGAGTCCCAGCATTGTGTGTGGGAATCCGTTTAGCAACCAGGCTCTGCAGGGAAGACAGGCACTGCTAACTCACTTCACAGAATACACTTTGTGAGAATTGGAGGATCTCAAATTGGAGGCTAAGCACGAATATCTATTAAATCCCAGTAAAACTGGTAAATTGAGCTTTCAGGTTGACAGTGGGAAAAAATTGGATTTACCACGGTTGGTGAATTGGATTCCCTGTTATTGCTTAGGAAAATCATTTCTATCCACTAATACTGAGTGTGGTGTCAGATGCCTGTGATCCCAGCACTCTTAAGAGGCTGAGGCAGGAGGACCACAAATTTGGTTGGGCACAGCCTGGGCAAAAATAAATAAGCAGCAGCAAAAACATACTAACACTTCCTTCCTTCAGAGAGGCCCTGAGGCAAAGCAGCAGATAGTGGTGACAGCTGTTGTTGAAAGCTCTGTGTGCAAGACCTTTCACTAGGAACTCTGCACGCATCCTCTGATGCCTCATCACAGGGCACACAGGAACTTCTTGTGCATCATTGCTTTTATGCTTCCTGAAATGAACTGCTGCCCTTAATGTCCAAAACTGGCTAAGATCTGAGTGTGGTGTCCTTTGGCAAGGTGACACAGTCAGCATGTGGTGGGACTGGAGTTCTGGTTCCAGCATACACCATAATGATTATTGTCATTGC